AGTTCTATAAAATTCACATGTCACTTACTCCACTATCACTGAAAGACACTTTCTGTAAAATGGAGTATGAAAGCATAATTGTAAATGAACTAAGTATCTTTGCTAATCATTTACTTACCTGACAAAGATACACTCTTTTGTTCATTCAGATTCCCACATATGTTGATTTTATTAGGTAAGATTATTGTATAAACTGTAATTTAAATATTTTGGGGGTAACAATGAGTCTTTTATTTTTAGTTATTTTTTTCTTTATCTTTTTCATCACCATTTATCCCCCCTATTCCTTCTTCCACCTCCATCTCCCCTGCACACAATCACAACACTGTGGTCCATCTCCATGAGTTCTTTCTCTTTTTTTCCTTTTTGCTCAACACCCCCCATCTCCACTCTTACCCCCTTAACTCTCTATCTACGAGTCTGTCTGTATTTTGCTTGTTCAGTTTGTTCATTAAATTCCATGTATGAGTGAAATCGTATGGTACTTGTCTTTCTCTGACTGGTTTATTTCACTTAACATCTTATCCAGGTCCATCCATGCTATTGCAAAAGGTAAAATTTTCTTCCTTTTTATGGCTGAGTTGTATTCCATTGTGTACATGTACCACAGCTGTTTTAGCCACTCATCTACTGATGGACACTTGGACTGCTTCTAAGTCTTGGCTATTGTAAGTAACACTGCAATGAACATAGGGGTGCATAGATTCTTTCAAGTTAGTGTTTCAGGTTTCTTTGCATAAATTCCCAGAAGTGGAATCCCTGGGTCATAAGGCAGTTCCATTTTTAATTTTTTTAGGTAACTCCATATTGCTTTCCACAGTAGATGGACCAATCTGTATTTCCACCAATAGTGCACGGGGATCCCCTTTTTTCCACATCCTCGTCAACACTTGTTTGCTGATTTATTCATTATAGCCATTCTGACAGGTGTGAGGTGATATCTCATTGTGGTTTTAATTTCCGTTTCTCTGATGATTAGTTATGTTGAGCATCTTTTCACATGTCTATTGGCCATCTGTATGTCCTCTTCAGAGAAGTGACTATTCAGGTCCTTTGCCCATTTTTAAATTGGATTACTTGAATTTTTTTTGCTTGAGTTTTATAAGTTTATTTGTGAGAATTAATAAAATAGCTTGTCTGGATTGGTAAATATAGGATCAATATTTTATCTTAAAATTAGTTGCATTTTTCATCACCGCAGAAAATATTTAGAATTCAATTTTTTAAAGGTTGACACTAATAATATACCAAGTCCTCAGGAAAATATGTAGCAATAAAACTCATAACATATGAAAATTATAAAATATCACTAAAGTATTTTAAAATAAATAATACAAATAGTGACACCATGTTTATGAGGATGACTCAAAATTTTAAAGATATGATTTTCAAAACTGGTCTGCAAATACAACACAAAGTATTATTAATGTTCTAAAATTGAAAAACTAAGGGAAACATTTTTGTGGAATTGTTCTTACGTGCTGCTGAATCAGCTAGCTCTAACTTCTGGGAATCCTGTGAATGAGTGTTGTCCACACTGTCCTGTCCTCAAAAGTTCTGTTCAGTAAATGGAGACTCATGCCTGTAGCTTTCTTTGTGTAGTCAATCCATGTCATATTTTGTCCTTTCTCTCTTCCTGCTGCCTTTTTTATTTTCCAGCATTATTTTATTTTCTGAAGAACCTTGCCTTCTCCTGATGTGCCTGAAATAGGACGGCCTCTGTATTGTCATTTTGTCTCTAGAATATTTCAGGCTTAATTTATCTAGGAATCACTTTTTCATCTTCTTGGAGGCCCAGAGTATCCATAGAGCTCTCCTCCAAAGCCATATTTCAAATGAATCAATTTATTTTCCTATCAACCTACTTCAGTGTCCAACTTTCATACCTGTACACTGGGAATTATGTGGATTAACCCAGAACAAAAAGACAAAACCATTTCTGAAGAAATATCTAGGAGTTATTAATGTCGTTATATGGAGGAAAGCTTACCAATGAAAATAGTGTAACATTGACTAATGAAAATTTAACATATCTTATAGAGTGTTATTCAAGATGAATGGAGGACAGATGTTCAAAAATAAGCAGTGGGGGAAAATAAGCTGTCTTCAGAAAAAGAAAAGATCTCTATCTAATACAGTGGCCAAAAAATAATCTCAGATGTGCTGAAGATCTAAATATCTGTCACTCTCACTCTATTGGAAAAAGAAGTGAAATGTCTGGCTAAAACAAGTGTTAGCAAGTATATAGAACCTGAGGTCTTATGTGCTGTTGTTGAGAATATAAATATAAACAAGAAATTGGGAAAACAGTTGTTAGGATTTGGCCGGTGATATGGGCTATGAAAGAATTCAAAACTAAAAGAAGAGATGCAGAGAGGAAGTTTATTTTACTTTTCCCCGAAGGGAAAGGGCTGGTGCATTGCTAATTGATACAGGGTGAGAAATAAAAGGACAGCTGCTCTTTTAAGCCATGGCTGTTGTTATGAGACAAGGAGGGGGGGGGGCAGTCCTGAAGTTGAGCAGATACCAGGGGCTGTCTTGAAAAGTTACAGTTTGTTTGCTCTCCAGGAGACAGTCCTAGGGAGGGGTCTTTTCAGTATGTTTCCCAAGCCTGTAAAACATGCTCAGAGCAAAAGTTATGAAGCATTCAAAAGAGGCCTGTTTGAAGGGGAGGAGGGAAAATGAATTTTCTACTAACTAGAGAGTCCTTGATGAGAATTATCCGAGTTGTGAAAATGGTAGGAGGAGGGGGATGCAACAGTGTAGACTTGAGAGTAGCTGATCTTGTTTTGCAGTTTTACAGAGGGGCTGTTTGAATCAGAGGATCCAAGAATCTTGGGGTTTAATTACCAGGTGCTTCTCAGAAATTGTGGACGGCCACAGCAAAGAAAAAGAGGCGCCTTTTTTCTATCCTTATAACAATTTGTTATATTTTAAAGTTGATCATATGCCTTTCCTATATATAAGCAGTGCCACATCCAGAGATACACCTGATGAATTCTTGTAGTTGTGCAGTGAGTGACATGTAAAGTAACATTCATATTCCCATTGGTCATAATAGAAAGTTAACAATTTAACTATGATATATTAAAGAAAAACAATATTACAAAATTGTGAAATTAGACTGCAGGAATACACATGAACATAGCAGAATGTTAGAAACAATCCTGAAGAAAAACACAAACAATACAAAGGCAAATGTGCATGACATTCATGACATTAAAAAATAGTTTTTAAAAAATATATAGTTTTAGGAACATAGATAAATTTGTTTTTAAAAGTTAAACTAGGGAATAATGAAACGTACAGTAGAGTGGTTGTCACTGTCAAAGACACAGGATAATGGAGTGGTCACAGAGAACTTTCAACTATGGCAATAATTTTTAAAAAAATTATCTTGGGAGGTGAGTTTATTTGTGTTCACTAACTTTGTTTTCTAGTTTACATATTTACTTTATATTTTTTGAATGAACTGAAATTTATATTTAACATAATATAATAATAATTAAAACAAAAATCTAGAGAAATTTATTTTAATTTAGTGTTTGTGTCCAAGCTTCCCAAGACCACCATCAGCTTCTGTGATTGACTAGGAAGCACAAAACTCAGAAGAGACTTTATATGTATGGTGATGGTTTATTACAGCTAAAGAAATAGATTAAAATTAGCAAAGGAAAAAGGTGTGCAGTGCAGTGTCCAGGAAAAACCAGGCATCAACTTCCCTGTGTCCTGTTCCAATGGAATCACACAGATAGCACTTAATGCGCCCAGCAGTGGTCTCTGACAACTTAGATAAAGTATCACCAACCAGAAATGCTTAACCAAGTTTTGCTGTCCAGGGTTTTATTGAGGGTCAGTACATAGACATGGACGGCTCACAAAACTGTCCCAAGCTACTTAGTGTCCAACTTGCCAACCCTAAATTCAAGCTGATACAGCCTAATACAAAGCCCTAGGCATACAAAAACACACATTCACTATGAATCACACATTAGTGTAAACTCTCTTAGGTGGGGGCTCCAGGATACAAAGATGCTCTTACCAGGTAGGACATTCTAAGGGTTCAGAGGTATTCTCTTGGGAGCCAGTCAAGGTCCAGTCCTGAAGACCTTTGGAATATGCAGTCTTGGCAGCCCAGGCTGATTGAGTTAACCCTTTTCTGCATAGTACCAGTATATGCACAGATTTAGTGCAGGTCTCCATCTACTAATAACAGCATGTTTTTTTTGTTGCTTATTTGAATGTATGCAATTGTTGAACATTGATTCTTTCAGTCCTTGCATCTTGTTGGCTGACTGTTCCAACTTTGTGACCTTCACAGGTTTTGAAGTGAGTCTCTATTGGATTTACTTAATCACTAATGAAAATATTGACTAAAACAAACCTTTAAGGCATACATTTCAGACTTCTTTCATTAACTTTAATAAATTAATCACTCAAAAACCATTGAAGAATGCAGAACATTGATTGATATCTGCATATTTGGGGAATATGGTAACATTCAACATTGAAGTGAAATAAAAAGCTGGAAATTAGGAAACCATAAAGCAACAGAGAGTATAGCAAAAGGCAAAACAATTTACATTCATAATGGAGGGTTTAATACATATTCTCAGGTCTAAATAAACAAAGAATGATAAAATCACACTCAATATAATAATTAGAGGTCTCAATATTTAACAATTTAAACTTTCTTTTTTAAGTTAAAGGAAAAAATATGGAGTATCTATTACCTTTTTTATACTATATAGAGACTTTGGTCTCTAAACACTCAATACCTGTCTTTCCTAGACAACATTTTATTACAAGTAAGTCTCATTTTTAGGACTCAGTGAAGATAGAAAATGGTTAGATGAAAGGTTCATGGTCATATAATTTTGGTTATATACTTGGATAATACGGAACATAATAACTTAGAAAATATTCTAATGAAAAACTGTAGGCTTGAACAGGCTTTGAAAGTTTATTAAATACTCTGCCAGGTTCAGAAAATTAACCAGTCACAGAAATGAAGGATTCCTTTTTTTGGTAATTACACTGCATAAAGCCTTCTTTACATCTTTATTTCTGAGGCTGTAGACCAGAGGGTTCAACATCGGGATCACTGCTGTGTAGAAAATAGAAACCACTTTGTCCTGACCCAGGGAGTAACTGGATGTAGGTCTCAAGTAAGTGTAGATGGAGGTGGAATAGAACAGAAATATAGCTGTCAGGTGAGAGGCACAGGTGGAGAAAGCTTTGTGCCTCCCCTCCCCTGAATGCATACGAAAGATGCAGAAGAGAATGTAGGAGTAGGAGGTGAGAATGACCAGCAGAACCCCCACTAGATTCACCCCAGCAAAAGTAGAAAAGATGCTTTCATTCAGGTGTGTGTCAGAGCATGAGAGCTTGAAGAGTGGAGGGCTGTCACAGAAGAAGTGGTGGATGACATTGGAAGCGCAGAATGGCAGGCTGCTCACATAACTTGTGTTCACCATGGAGTTGAGCAGTCCCGCTGTAAAAGCCCCCGCTGCCATTTTAAGGCAGACTGTCCTGGACATGACCAAGGGGTAAAGCAGGGGATTGCATATGGCCACATAGCGGTCGTAGGCCATTAACCCAAAGAGGATGCATTCGGTCGTGGCCAAGGCGATAAAGAAGTACAACTGCAGAAAGCAGCCNTGTTCCGATCATTTATAACAAATACAGTTTGCTTAACTTGTATTAGGTGTAGATATTTCCCTCTCCAAAGGTTACAGGAAATAGTGGAAATTTTAATGAGGTTATTGACACATGGAAAAAAACCACCCTTGGTTAATATAGCACAGTAACTAGAGTGACTGAAGAAAGAGGGAAATTAGTGGAGAAATGGAGAAGTTATTTGTATTTATGAAGCCATTGACTTTATTAAATCTAGCTGTAGGTTCCTTAAATTGCTGGTCTCAAACCATATACTCCACTTAAGTTTCTGCAAATGCAGCTTATGTTCTCTACCAGCCCACATCCAAACAAGTATTCCTGCTGTAGTCTCCCCTGGTCTCTGAAAGGTGTGTGCATTTAACACAAATCCTTTGTTTATTTCTCAAGACCACTCTGTTTATTCTTCAGCTCCAGTACTCATGCAATGCCTCCCAGAAATTTCTCATGTACCTTAAGCAGCAAAAATAGTGACATTTCAAATAACCAATATTTTCAACATCTATTGTATTTTATAGAATAATTTGGTAGTTTTAAAAATAAGCCAAATAATTGTTCTCAATACAAAGTACACTATATTACAGTGTCATGTAGTGCCAGGCACATTACCTGTCCACCATAGTAAGTAACAGCATCAAATCCTTATGAGCTTCCTTCCCCAGTGTCTTTCTCATGTAGATTCTTATTTTCTATTTTATTAGGGGTTCTCAGTTGGAGCTTAAAAATAAAATGTAAAAAATCACTTTGGAAATGCAATGCAGTGAATATTTGAATTACCTACTGGTAAAAATGTAAGACTCCTTCTGAGTGAATCCATGTTGCTACACTTTTATTTTGTTTTCCTGGAAGAGAATCAGGTAACCGTGGGGACTAGATTATAGGGTTTATTTGTGAAGTTAATCCTCTAAAGGCAGAATCTTCATCTCAAAAGAAAATGAAATATAATCACAGGTAGTTATAGGGAATCAAACATTGCATCATGAAGTGGTTCTTGATCTCTGTATTTCCTTAACGACTTTCGCCAATGTAAAAACAAAATTAATTGGCTATTTACATTGCTTCTCTCTCTTTGTATTTTTAGCCCATTTCAAATGGTTCATAGCCCAGTACCAAATTATTCTTCCCTTTACTCGAATAAAGGAGGGTCCCTTCCTTTGTCTGAGTCCATTGAAACTTCAGTCTAACTCTGCTCTTGAATGAAATCAATAAGAAGGAGTGGCTAACTAAATACATTGTACAGTGTTTTAGAAAAAATTATACCCTGAACAAATAGGACCATGAATAAGAAATCTGAATTTCGTTTTTATGATTTCAGAAGTGTGATGGCCCATTGTAATGAGTGTCTGTGAGTCTTATCCTAGAAGGGGATGATAGCTCAGATTTCCTAGACCTAAAGATGCAAGTAAAACAAGGTTGAATAAGGCACATTGGTGTCATTACTCATGGAGAGTCTACATGCAGAGGGAACTCATCATGCATTCAGTTTTGTATTACACTTTTCCACTTAAATGCTTAATTAATTTTCTACATCAGTCTTTAAGGGAGGCATTATTATTTCATACATTTGCAGATGAACAAAGCATGACTTCAAGCTATTAAATGACTTTCCAATGGAAAAATACTTAGGAATTGGAAGAATTGGCTTGAGCACAATCTTCAACAGAAAGCATTAATACCCAACTACCTAACTTTTCTGTCTAGTTTCATTTTATCTCAGTTTCTTAGAAGATTTTATGTATATAATATGTATAATAAATATATACACATATACAAGTGCACACATACACACTTTCATATATGTATGTTTCTTCTAGTAAATTCAGTCTTCCAAACATCAGATCAGGTTCTTGTGTTTCTAAAGAAAGATCTGTAACATCATGAAATATACTGCTTGGGTGGGTTGGGGGAGGTAGAAATGGTAAAGTGGGGATAAATAATGATGGAAGGAAACTTGACTTGGGGTGGTGAACATATAATACCATATACAGATGATGTATGATAGAAGTGTACACCTGAAATCTAATTTTCTTAAGCAATGACAACCCAATAAATTCAATAAAAAAACTTGACATAAACATCTGATCACCATGGCATTGAAAACTATGCCGTGATTGACATCTGTGCAAACTTCTTTCTATTTATTTTTTATTTATTTATTTATTTATTTATTTATTTATTTATTTATTTATTTATTTATTTATTTATTTATCCTGTTTTTCCTTTGATTATCTTATGAGGTAATACAGATATTGGCTTTCAAAGAAGGTGCTCTAGTGTCCTGATCATTGTAGTCTTTTCACTGGGTCTAAATTTGCTATTGATCAAAGGGACTTTATAGTTTATGACATGTAGGGTAAGTTCTATGCTTCCACATGACATTTCACTATTGCCAGAAGAAACTCTATGTAAAATAGAGTTAGAAGCATAATTGCAAATGAGCCAAATATTTTTGTTAATCATTGACTTACTTGACAAAGAAACTCATTCTTTTGTTGATTCACATTTCCATAAATCTTGATTTTATGAGTTAAGATTGTTGTATACTCTGCAATTTAAATCTTTTTAAAAGATTACAACATGAAAGGTAGAATGAAATGCTTAATCGTGAAAATCTATTCAGTTGTATTAACAGGACATATTAATAGAANGCACTTAATTGTGAAGATCTACTCAATTGTATTAACAGGACATATTAATAGAATTTGTCATTTTCAGTTACTTGTTTATATTTTTCTACTTTTTAATTAGCTAATAAAAATTTTAGAGCACAAACTGATACCACTGTAATTAACTAGTTATTAATAATAGAAAAGGAGCAAAGGGAAGGCCAGACATTATAGGCATGTCATTTGGACNAGGAAGGCCAGATATTATAGGCATGTCATTTGGACAACTTCACCAGGAAGCTGCAATTTTGCACTCCCCAGGGAACCACCAGCCTATTCTTGCAAAACACTGGGTGAAAGGGACTGGAGAAAGGAAAGATAGGTGCATGCCCCATAAAGTTGTGGTGACACAGGGAAGGTACTTGTCTGTCAGTCACACCTGGGAACAGAAATCATTGGCCAGACTAGGTGTGGCCACTGCAAGTGCATAAAAATTTGGGAACACATATTCTAAACAAAGGAGCTCTCTGTCTTGGGCTCTTGTTGTGTTTGGCTCTTGGATCGTGGCTCACACTTGGCTTCCTTGCATTTGTCTGTGTTTTCTCCATATCCATGTGGCCCTGCAGACCCCACACACAATGGACTAATGGACTGCAGTGGGGAAACAGGAATTAAGTTAGACTGATGCTGGACTGGACCTGGCTCCAACATGGAAAGGAAACTCTGGACAATGGCTCTGACTTTAGCTCTACTGATGCCCCANGGACACTAGCTCTGACTTTAGCTCTACTGATGCCCCAGTTACCCTTCTTCTATGACTAGACTAAGAGAAATGGGACCTTGGAAATCCAGGGGTATAATCCCATGGAAATAAAGCTTTCCACTATATCTCATCCTCCTGCGGAGGCTTCTGGAAATGCTTATTGCAGGGGTACCCTAAGAACCCCACTTCTATGATTAACTGGGGGAGATGAGACCCTCTCTAGTCCATTAACAAATACATGTGTTATTTGATCTTTCTCTTTTCTTGCTGCCTTCCATATTTTCCAACATTATTGTCTTTTCCAAAGAATCCAGCCTTCTTGTGATAGGCCTGAAATAGGACAGCCTCAGTTTTGTCATTTTGTCTCCAGAATGTTTCAGGCTTAATTTATCTAGAACCCGCTAGTTTGTATTTCTGGAGGCCCAGAGTATTCATTGAGCTCTCCTCCAATGCCATATTTCAAATGAATCAATTTTTTTCCTATCAGCCTTCTTCACTGTCCAACAAAATTCCGAAGAGCCTTTCTATGTATGATTATGGTTTATTACAGCTAAAGAAATAGATTAAAATTAGCAAAGATAAAAGATGTGTAGTGCAGTGTCCAGGAAAAACCAGGCGCCAGCTTCCCTTGTGTTCTCTCCTGGTGGAATCATACAGACAGCACTTAATGCTCCCAGCAGTGCTCTCTGACAACTCAGATGAAGTATCACCAACCAGAAATGCTTAACCAAGTTTTACTGTCCAGAGCCAGTACATAGACATGGGGGGCTCACATAACTCTCCCTGGTTACTCAGTCTCCAACTGGCCAACCCTAAATTCAAGCTGATACAGCCAAATACAAAGCCCTACGCATACAAAAACACACATTCACCATGAATCACACATTAATGTAAACTCTTAGGTGTGGACTCCAGGATACAAAGATGCTCTTATCAGGTGGGACATTCTAAGGGTTCAGAGGTCTTCTCTTGGGAGCCAGTCAAGGTCCANTAACTGTCCCTGGCTACTTAGTGTCCAACTGGCCAACCCTAAATTCAAGCTGATACAGCCAAATACAAAGCCCTAGGCATACAAAAACACACATTCACTATGAATCACACATTAGTGTAAACTCTTAGGTGTGGGCTCCAGGATACAAAGATGCTCTTATCAGGTGGGACATTCTAAGGGTTCAGGGGTCTTCTCTTGGGAGCCAGTCAAGGTCCAGTCCTGAAGACATTGGATATGCACAGTCTTGGTGGCCCAGGCTGATTAAGTTAACCCTTTCCTGCATAATACCAGTATATGCACAGATGTAGTGCAGGTCTCCATCTACTAATAACTTCATTTTTTTTGGTTGCTTATTTGAATGTATGCAGTTGTTGAACATTGATTCTTTCAGTCCTTGCATCTTGTTGGCTGACTATTCCAACTTTGTGACCTTCACAGGTTTTGAAGTCAGTCTCTATTGGACTTACTTAATCACTAATGAAAATATTGAACAAACCTTAAAGTCATACACTTCAGACTTCTTTCATTAACTTTAATAAATTAATCACTCAAAAACCATTGAAGAATCCAGAAAATTGATTGATATCTGCATATTTGGGGAACGTGGTAACATTCAAC